GTATACAGGTTTATATACGTAATACCTACTTTAGAAAAAAAGGTACCTTGGTGAAAATGATTCTCAAAATAGTCACTGATGTGCATTATCTACAAAACCTTCTGTATAAAAAATTAAACTGTTTTCAATGAAATTCCATGTTTATATTCCATCTGAAAACTGTACTTGAAAGATAAATAGGTCTACCTAATGGTTTCTCTGTGAAATTGTGACTAAGGCAGCTCTCTTTCCAACATTTTCTTTCATCCACCTGTCACCTCTAGTAGGAATATAGGTAAATATTACACAGATGCAACCTGACATGCCTATGCTGTCCCTGGAGCTCTGTTCCCTGTTACAACTGGGGACAGAAGAGTTGCTACAAAGAATATTTTTCTTTCTTTAAATATACTGTTTTTCTATTCCAAATCAAGCACTTACTTAAGACATTAAGAAGCTGAGGAGTCACTCCTTTTGGTGTCAGTCAGTATCAATAGCCCTATAAGAAAGAACTCTTGTATTGGAATAGTTAGAAAAGTTTTCACTTAGAGTAATAGTGCATCCTTCACCTGCATAGAGTCAATTTGGTTTAATAGCTCTTTGCCCCCAGAACACCAGTCTGGAGTTCAAATATGTATGCTCCTGTAGGCCCATCTAAATATGCAAGGAGATCTTACAGAAGCCATACGAAAATACATAGGGTAATAAAAGTTGTTAAATTTGATGAATCTTCTAGCATTTCTCATTTAGAGTAGCTGCTAAAGGTGAAGGTAGAGACAAAAATGGAAAAGACTGGGGCAACTGAGTTGGTCAAATATTTACACCAGTAACTATTTAGTAAGTCTTTAAGCAAACAAATAAAATGAGAGGTTACATCTCTCACTCATCATTCTATAAGCAGTGAGGATTTGAAAAATTGAGTACCCTTAAAAAGGGAGAACAGTCTGAGGCAAAAGTTGTAGGTCTGTAAATATGTATTTTATATGCACACAATTGTGTTTTAGTCTGTATATATTTACATATATATTCACAAGACGCCCTGCAGTGTAGTTTAAAAGGCCTGCAACAAGGAACAAACTAATTCTAGGGTAGGCCCTAGACTTCATATTATCTGTGTAAGAAACCAATGTGCATATATTCACATAATGTAAACCTTATGAACAAAGACATTACTATTAACATTAGGTTAGTAACAGGTTTCAGGCTAATGGTTTTTTACTATCAACTAGTGATGTAATCATAACATGTGTTACAGAGAATCAAAAATAAGAACAAAGAACACCAGCCAGATTTTAAATTCACAAGAAAAAAGATGTTCAGTATGGCAAACAAAGTTCAACTTCCAGAGTAGGGAAAAATATCAAAACTTTATAAATCTCCTGGGATGCAATTAAATTACTGCATCATTAGAAAAATAGGCTCATAGAATGATCAGTGCTGCTAAGGGTTCTCTCAAGGCATCCACCCATGTTTATCTTTTTCCTCTTTTGTTTCCAGCTGGAGGTTTCTTCAACTGAAGGAGTTGTCCTCCTGTCCCAAAACCTGCAGATGCAGGATTGGACACCCCAAATGTCAAACCAGCTGATGCCGTGATGCCAGGATTGCTGAAGTTAAACCCAGATGTACTTGAGCTGCCAAATCCTTATGTTTAGGGAAGAAAATATTCATATCAGAAGTGAAATCACATTCACACACACACACACATACACACATAATTATATAAAACCATGAGTGGTAAATCTTTCTGAAAGAATAGCAAGTATCTTAGGGACTTGAATTTCTAACATGGTGCTTTACAGGACAAAAATTTAACAATTAAGTGGATCCTTCAAACACATTGACTTAGTGATTCAGGCTAAAATGAAGCCTCAGTATACAGTAAATAAAATCTACACAAAATATAAAGCTGCCAGAAACTTTCCTATTAATTAAATACATGTAAGCATCTTCCTCCTCATTCCCACCAAAAATTTTTGGAAGAGAGACTTTGACAATATTTGGAATCCTACATCCCCCAAGAAAGTTTCAATTTACAATGTTAAGAACAATGAACACACCAAAGAGCAGTACATATTCAAACAAATTTGTAAGTGCCCTTGTATAATAAAGATCAAGCATTCTTATTGCCTAGTCAAATAATGTATTATTTACAGTTTTGACACCCCTCACTAAATTCTATATCTTACTCTACCGGAAATGCTAATTTTAAACACTACATAAACTTTCTATTATCTGTCAGAAGATTACAACTATTACACAAACGAAAGAAAGACCCAAATTAGTCATCAGTTATAAGACTGTCATATTCTTAAAATCAGAGGGACTCAGAACTAAAGAACATTTCTTTGCAACAAAAATAGGTCTCTTGAACCTATTGAATAATGATAAAAAGTGAATTAAACTTTTATCATGATGGTTTCATTTTTGCAATACTCAGTACAACTGTTTAACCATGAAATAAGGAATAAGGGCTCAAATTCATCTCTAGTTTTAAAGGAGGATATGGCTATTACTTAGAATTAAGAAACCTTGTTAAAAGAATTTCACGTAAGGCATGATGGTGCATGCTGGTAATCCAAGCACTCAGGGAGGCTGAAGCAGGAGACTCACTTTAAACTTGAGGCCAGCCTGAGCCACATAGTGAGTTCAAGGCCAGGCTAAAATACATTATGAGACTCTGTCTCAAAAAAAAAAAAAGAAAAAAAAAAAAATCCATACACTTGTCCTTTAGCTTTTAAGAAATAAAAGCTATATAATTAGTTAGGCCTGGCATACTCTATCCAGGGAATAGAAACTGAATCAAGGACCTTTTCAGATTACTGAAAATAACAGCAGTTATCCTTTTAAATTAAATAACTTGCATCTTTACATTTGCCTGGAATTCAGGCAGAAACACACAAACCTGCACTAAGACTTCCTGAGGGTTTATTTGTTGTTCCAAATCCAAATGTGGAGGCCCCTGTGGTGCTGGATCCAAAACCAGAGCTAGTTCCAAATCCTAGTGGAAGGGTAATAAGAGAAATATACAATGGTACATAAAACATAGGTTATAGGATGGCCACAAGTAAACTGAAAAGCATCAAAGGTATAATATAGCGCTGAAAACCATGGCCTTATTAAGGAAATCTATTTATTCCTGAGCATAAGACTGAGAAGAAACAAACTAATTTCTGAAATGAATCATTTATTTATAACTGTTTAGCTTAACATTATGACCCACCAGTAAAATTTAAAGAATAAGGCCATAAAAATCAAGATCATACTGATATCCCCAGATGTATTAAGACATTTCACTGACTAAATACAATTTTAGAGTTTTAAGTATATGTACTCGATGGGTACTTCATTTGAAAAAAAGACTAACTTCTTAAATAAGCATAACATGCACATCAATGTAAACATTAAGATAATTTTACTCTGCTGTTTACCAAACATTTTTCATTAAGAATCCTTCATTGAAAAACTCTCACTATGTAATAGTCCATCACGTTATGCCTAGTCCGTAACAGCAGAGGCCTGCCATACTATCATAAATGTTAACAGAGACACTAGGACTGGGACATCATGTTTTTTCTCTTGATAATGTCACAATTTGAGGTATTTTTCATCACACAAAGTTAATGAATATATTACAAATATTTGAAGACCTAATTTCCAAGGTGTGCTATATAAATAGTTTAAATTCTTTCCAGACTTTTTAATGGCTTACCTAAAGTACTGAGTTTGGCAGTTATCACTACCTGTAACTCTGGATGGCAAACAATTTCCTAGATCATGGAATTTAGGCTACCTGTCATGACTCCAGTAATTTCTAACATAGAATAGAGTTTACACTAAATAACAGTAATAGCTTATAAGTTCTCTCTATTATAGGTACTTTAGTGGAAATAAGGGAACTTTACTCATTACAATGCATTTCCCAAAACACAAAAAGCTTTCAATTAAACAATACAAAAAGCTATAAACACATTTGTATTTAGCTAATGTTTTCGTGAAGATTTACCTCACTCATTAAACTACTAAAATATGCTCAACTGCTCATGTATAGAATGTGTATGCATATAGACAAATATGCCAAAATTGCTTACAAATAGAAGTTAAGTTATTTGATTTATAATAAATTCCTCATTTAAAGTGCTCATTTTCAAGGGAAAATATAGATGATTAGGAAATCAGCTGCAGATTAGATTCCCAAGTAATACTAAGAGTTTTAAAAAATCATAGCTAAACTTATTAAAACTAAACAACTCTCAGCTTCATGTCAGCATAGTGAATTTAAACTATGAACATCCCTACCACTTCATTTTAATATTTTTTTTTACTTAGTAATCATAGAAGTTGGAATGATTCTTTAAGTTCTAAATCTAATACTAGAAAGCAATGATCAGGTTTGGAGAATCATTTTTGCCAGATGGAAACTTAATGTCCAAAATAGCAGCAGATCCTCTTAGAAACCTTTTTACAGGCTAGTACCAATTCAAATGTATAAGAGTGTAATGAAATATTAGAAAAGTTAAAGTGTACCTCCAAGGTTTGAAGAACCTAAGCCACTTGATTGCAAGCCAGTACCAATACCTGAGCCGAATGGCGTTCCAAAACTAACTCCCAGAGATGGCTGTGGCCCTGGTATAAAAAAACAAAAAACAAAGAAAAAAAAAAAAAAAAAAAAAATGGGAGGGGAAAATAAACAAATTTGCCTTACTCTTTCAAGAATAAAGTTCCTTTATAAAATTATTTTAAAACTAAACAGTGATTACTTTTAACATATCCCATTTGTTAAAACTTGTATTTCAAGATCTTCCTGACCTATTTTATGTTCCAAGTGATACCCTATCCAAAAACTTTTAATTAAACCTGCTCAGAATTATAAATTAAAAGCTTACCACAATCAAAGACATGAATTTAATCTACTAAATAATTTGAAATCTTTAATGTATTATAAATTATATTTCTTTTAGATTTATTTCTAGAATTATTTTAGAACTCTCCATTTGTTTTCAGATAAAACTAGTTGGTGTAATCAGTAAAGGTTTTTATTTCTATTTACTTTTACATAAGCTCCTTAGTGTTAAGAGTCAAGTCTCAACTGATCAGGAGACTGACACTTAACATGAAAAAACTATCATGTTACTTCATAAAAATACCCAAAAAACTAGGCATTATTTCTTATATATAAATCATAACAATAGATAAAAAACAAGACAATGTTTTATTTTATTAAATTTATTATTCATTTTAAAGCAAACCAATTACACAGTAACATGACAACTCCAACTTGTTCACAAAAAGTGACAACTGAGTTCTATTCTTCAGCTTTGCTACATTACACCACTTATCACCTGATTAAATAAGATAATGAACATTTACAAAGGCACCAGCTGTGTACCTTGACAGATTCAATACATTCAAGATTTCAATTCAGAAGTTCTTTTCCAACCTTTTGGAAAATGCACTCAGATACAGAATGATTAGTCATCCTTTTCGCATTTGTTAAAGATTTTGGCTGAGTTTGTTTGGCAAGAATAGCATCAAACTTACTAGCCTCTCTTTTTTAACTATTTTTTTAAACTAATAATACAAAAATCTAAAAATCTCTCATTTGATAAGTTTATGAAAATTACTCAATAAATTTCATAGTACAATCTTCAGTCTTGTCTTTTTCAAGCACAGTGATCAGTGCATCTCAAAGTTAAGGGAATGCCAAAGTAGTATGCATATTAAAATTTAAAATTTTGAAAAAAAATGAAAGCCTTCAAGTTGTCCAATGAAGAATGAGGTTTATTCCAAAGTTAATGTAAAATATAAAGCATTAAAACAAAACAAAAAACTAAGAAACTACATTTTGCTATACAGGGACAGAAACTGGACTTCCTCAAAAAGTTTCTATCCAGAAAATACAGAGAAACAACTAATAGCAGCCAACGTTCTTATACTTTAAAAAAATAAATTAAAAAAATGAGTTAAATTTTTACATCCAGTCTGAGATCAATTTGAGAATAAAACAAATGTGTAGTAGCTCTTTTGTAAAATGTTACCATAGGAAATAGAAACTAAGTGCATTATTTTGTTCCTAACAAAAATAATATGTAGAAAGCATATGTCCAGTTTCTTTAACATTGAGAGACTTCAGTGTCACATGTTAATAGGAGGCACTGCTGGTGGAAGACCCTACAGAATAATGCACACCACAGCCCTCAGCCTTATAAGTCACAGGAGTTATGCTTTTTTGTTGTGTGTGGGTCTGTTTTTAAGAGCAACAGAACATAATTACCAAATCATCAATATTCAAGATAGCAAGAACTCATATTTAACAATGACAAGACTTTCCATTGCACAACAGATACATGATACTTTTGAGTTGTGTACCTTCACACAAATTCTGAAGGCATCATCATTTATAAAACTAGTAGGCAAATGTATAACATTTTTAATAGTAAAAACTCATGATAAATATCTCCCATGCCAAAGTATTAGTATATATTACACTCTGGCTACCATTAGTTTCAATATTAGAAAGCAGAATCTAAATCCTTCAGGCAAAAGTTATGTAAACAGTACAAGTCTGCTTTGAAATCTAAAGTCATTCAATGAGAGGCTCTTAGTTTAATAAATAAAATCGAGTTAATAGCAATATATACCAATGACTGCCCAAAGTGAAATCTTCATGTAGCGTAACATTTTACAAAAATTACCATATGATATATTCACAACAAAATTAGGCTTAGCACTGTAATTCATATTTCCCGAATAGAATCTATTTTCTTAAAAGTAAAACTGCATTCACGGGAGGACTAAAGTGCTATTTTTTTTTTTTTAATTTTACAGGACCACTAAATATACCTAATGTAATTAGGATAGTAATTCCTAAATTGACTTTTAAAGTAATTTTTCATTAAAAACCAAAAATGCTTTTCCCCAGTTTGAAAAATTTTATCTTTAACTGATTTAATGGGGAATGTTCCTTTGGTTATTAAATACAACAAAAGCACAAAAGCACAAGAAACTAAATGAAATACTTAGTTTTCTATTTAACACTATACCTTAACTGTCCAAACCTTTCCTAACAGCTAGACAGTAGCTAACAAATGACCTAACAAATGTGTCATCTCTCTTTAAAAACAGCAGCTAAGTCATGTGAGAAAGTCTTATGTAAACATTAAGAACTTTTAAAAGGTCAAAACATAACAGCAAAATCCAGCCTTCCCATGTACTGATGCTCATTTGAGAAATAAATAGCCTGCTGGTTTTTCAAATCCCCTCTGCCTTCTGAACAACCAACTATAAATCACACATGCCTAAGCTCTACTGTATTTTTTCCATTAAAAAAAGGAACTGGGGACTAAGGATATAGCTATGCTGCAGAATGTGCACTTAGCATGTACTAGGTCCTAGGTTCAATCCCCAGCACAAAAATACACACACGCACGCGCGTGCGCAATCTGAGCATTCTGATGGCTTAGGCAGAACAGCCACAAGGTGGAAGCCAGCCTGGGATACATAATGAACTCAAGGCCAACCTAGACTGTATAAAGTGGTACTATCTCAAAATGCAAAACAAGAAAAAAAAATTTAAGTCCTCTTGCTCTGTGCCCATATTAATTCACATTCATAAATTAAGAAGCTTATATGTAAATAAAACTAAAAATTCTCTGGTAACTCAACTATTGTATTGATCAACAGTGATGAATAAAACAGTACACAAGTCTAACCTAGTTTCATCTAGATGGTCTAAAATTTGTGATTGGCATTTAAAAGTTTTCATAAATGTTATACAGCATAAGAAATAACTCAGATACAAAATAAATTACAAACAACAGTGACATTACTAAATGGGCTATATAACTCAAGATCATTACCTGTGTATCTAACAACCTCAAAAACCTCACAATCTTAGTGACATGACTACTGACTCAAGAGACCAGCATCTGAAAGGGACTACAGAGTCTGGGAGATCCTGAGAGAGAGAAATGGAAAGAGAGGCCTAATGAAAAATTGTTGTCACTACTGTTCGACTTCTTAGCTTTAAAAATTCTAAAACTCCAAGTAAGAACACTCTTTAGATTGATAAATTCCAATTCCTGCTACCTGATTAGAAAGCCCTTATGTAGACTCCAAAATTGCAACAGCACTGAGAATAATAAATGTCCCCTGACAAAAAATGCCTAGTAAAAGTCACAAATTAAAGCATATGGGCAAAAGGTGCCTAGGACAGGTACTCCAAATTAAGCTAATATTCTCTCCCACCCCAAACAGCAAAGATCTTATATCATCTATTTTTGCATCCCTCAAACCTAGCACATAGTAGGCACTCAATGAATGAACATGTATCTTCATAGGTCCACAGCCCAAAATGAATGAGTGAAACCCTATTAAATTAAATTCTCAAGATTAAAAAATCTACATTCAGTTAAAAATAAAACAAAACCTAAACAGATTTTGCTTCAAGTTTAATTATTTGCCATAGAATATTTTCACTTAAAGGATAATATTTAGTTAAATGACTTCTCTCACAGTTTTAGTGGAAATCAATTATACTTAACAAACTCTTCACACTTAACCTAAACCACACTTTAGGATCTATTTTAGGATTAATACTGGCTCTAAAGAGTAAACTGAGTACAGTTAGAGTAAAAGAGTATAGTTAGTATGATAAATTGGTTAGATAATCATGAGAACTGATGGTCAGGATTATGGGATTGGTTCTTCAAACTAATCAACCCCATAATGACTTTTGCCCTTCACAACTTGAGAATACAATCCCAATACTCTGGTTTCTCTTCAGATCATTTAAATCTTTTGTCTTTTACTAAAGATTTCTGTGGAGAATAAAATTCTACACTCCAGTCATCTAAGGATACCAGATAGTGCTTCTGTGAGCCACTATTCACATGGTTCCAGCCAGAGCAGGTGGAAGATCTGGCATAAACCCATCATCAATCCTTTTATTGATGGCAAGTCAATTCTGTTATCTCCAAATGTGAAGAACAATTCTATATACTGCCAACAGCGACCAAAGGATACTTCTCCAGTACAGGGCAGTATGAATGTCACACAAATATGATGGATTTTTTGCTTAGTTTTTGAGATGTTTTTACTCCTTTTGTATAATTTGCTAGTGGACTATATGGTATTCTCAAAAAGACATTCTATAGGACAACCTTCACTCAATTTATAACTGATTCATAGGGAAAAAAATCAATATCCATCAAGACTGTATTTTTCTATGTTAATTTCAATCAAGACAAAAGATTGCAGGAGTAAGAAGACATCTAATAACCTCTAAAAGACCAAATGGAACATTTAAAACTACGCCCCCAAAATATTTCTCTGAAGGAATTAAACCAAGGAACAAAAGGACCTGGCTTCCAGTATCTAATTATTTTCATCTCTTGAACTTCCCAGTTCCTAATGAATGTGCAATGCACACCTCAAAATATCTTCTTCTTACTCTTGCTACTGTTCATTTTGAAAAGGTACAAATAGTCTAGCATGTTATCTTCAAAATTGGTTTACAAGGTCCATATTCTGTTTCCAAAGTACATACAAAGAAACCTGTTGATTCTCAACACATCTGCAGTCAGTAAAAACACTGATCCTGAAGGTGGTTACTGCAATCATTATGTCTGAGGAAAATGAGAATGCACCATTTATCAATATTAAATGGATGGACGATCTCTGATCTTAAAACAATAAAAGACACAATCACAATTTTAAAATCTAATGTTATTTTTAAATGTAATTCAGTAGTGAAACACCACGTTCTAAGGGGTACTATCGCAATACAGCAAATAACATTAAGGAAAGTCACAATATTCAATATCTGATGTATAATTATTGCTAGACTACCCTGCATTTGTCAGGTATGTTAGTAATTGTGTCCATCACAATTTTTAGATTGTACTAGAACAGCTACTCATAGAAATTTCTTCAGTGCTCACACAAAAGGAAGACATAAAAATGCTCATAAATGTTCTGCATTTGAACAATAAGCTATAACTTGAATGCATTCAGACCTGTAGCAGGCTGTTGCTGCTGTGAAAGTGTTGCAGCCATGGCAACGGCTGCAGCATTTGGCATGGTGCTGAAGGGTGTGGGCCCAGTGGTAACTCTGGGTGTATTCTGCCACTTCTTAGCTTCTGCCCGCCTGGCCTCAAACACATCTACAGCATCTCCCAAGAACATTTTCCTGTAGCCAAGGTACTGTTCTTTGAGCACCTGAAGAAATAGGGAGAAAAAGTTAATCAATTTCCACTTTGATTAAATTAATACGTAAATGAACATAACTGTGAAATAAATCGCCAAAGATCAGACACTGCCAATGTTACACATTTTACCTAATACAAAAATTAAGAACACTAGTAATGTATGTCGATGTAGGAAGTGGTAAGTTCAAGAGTTCTCTTACTCGTTTGAATATTTAACTCTCTACTTTTTTTATGTAGCTTTACAATATGCTGCCTTAAAAATTTGGCTTTGTGAAAGTTAGACTAGCCTCAACTAAGTCTGAGGCAAACTGAAGAATATTGAAATAACTACTTCAGTTTTTCATGAAAAATTTCCCTCAAATACTCAACCTTCTGTAAACTGTAAATGCTAGCACATAGATTTTAGTACATTTCTTTCTTTTTTTTTTTTTTAGCCCACACAGAAAAAGGTGGAAGGGTATAAGGAGGGCTTCTACTTTACTGTTGTATGATGACAAAAGAGGGTGAACTTGTAAACCCAGTCTTTTACTGATTTTAAAAATTTGAGTTTATAACTCCAGAGTAAGAAAAATTAACAAATTACCTGGTGTGAATATACTTTTACAGAGGCCTTAAAAGGACAGATTTTATTTCACATCAGTTCTTAAATATTTTCATTGAATACTTAAATACTATTTATTTTAGTCAAATTTAGATAAGTTTTATATCATTTTTTGAAAAGCAGAATTCTTTTATTTATTTATTTATTTATTTATTTTAGGCAGAACTGGGATTGAACTCAGCCCCTTGCGCTTGCCAGGCAAGTGCTTATTCTACTGAACTATCTCCCCAGCTTATTATGAATCAAACTTCCCAGCTTATTACTTTTGTTAACAGAAATAATTTTCATAATTTGCTCAAACAGCACAGACTTAAACATTTTACTATTATAGTTTCAAGCTATTCATCTTTTGATGTGGATACCCATATTTAATATCCAAGTTTCAAACTTTAAAATGAACCTGCTTCTAAGAACTGAAAACAGGAGAAAATGTAAAGTCAGAAATCAGGAATATGATGTAAGAAAAACAAACCTCATTACTAAACTCTCCCAAATTCATCATTCTTTTTTTTGTGCACATTCCCATACAAAGTATGGCATCAGTATTTCAAAAACTGTAAACCTACTTGAGGTAATGAAATAAAGACATGCCTCAGAGACTTCATAAAGCTGGTATTAGCCATAATATATTAATTCCTGGCTGATAAGATATTTAAATGTTTCAACAGATTGATGAAAAACAGTAAGAGGAAAAAACACCTCCAAAAAACAAAAACAAAGCCAGGACTGGTGGTTCACATCTGCAACCCAGCACTTGGCAGGCTGAGGCAGGAGGACTGCCCTGAGTTAAAGGCCAGCCTGAACTTAAAAAAAAAAAGCAGCCTGTCTTAAAAAAGAAAGAAAGAAAGAAAAGAAAAAGAAAAAAACACTTCCCTGTGAGAGATTTATAAGGAATGAAAAGCAGAATCTATAGCTGACCTGTTCATTAAACAAAGCTGAAAACAAATGTTAACATACCAAATCTGTTTTTTTGAGGGGGGATGGAGGTCTAGGAATCAAACTCAGGATCTTACTGTACCACTGAGCTGTATTTCTGGCTCACCAAATCTAATTATAGAACATGCTTTGGTTATTGGGAATGTGTTAAAAAAAAAAAAAGTCAAACAGCCATCTTAACTTTGGGAAGGTTCCATGCACACAAGGGAGGTGGGGGACAACCAGGAATTGAACTCATAACCTCATGTTTGTTGGGCAGGTCCTGCACCATTTATATCCCCAGCCATTGGTCATGTTTATTCTTGCAAAATTTGGTCTGGTGAGTTTAAAGTCTATTTAAAGCCAAAGGTTAAAAGTGTGCTATCATTTCAAAAATGATACAATTTAAATGGTTAAGTTTGAAAAAATGTTACCATGCATCAGATTAAAAGAAGCATCAAATTATTGACAATTTCTGTTAAAGTATTCCATAAGATTTTAGACTCAGGTTTAGCTGTTTTGAATTTTTTTTTTTAATGTACTCAGGGTTTATAGGATCTACAGAGTCTCACTATACAGATCAGACTTGTAGTGATCCTTCCTGTTTTCAGCCTCCCAAGCGCTGGGATTATAGGTGCACACCACCATGCCACCAGTCTCAATCATTGTCTCAGTGCACCCTGGGGGCGGGGCCAGCACAGCAGGCCAGGGATTGAACCCCCAGCCTCTCCATCTGCCTAAGCAGGTGCTTTAGTGTGCTGGCCAACTCTAGCTATTTTGAATTTTAAAGTTTCTTTTAAGTTTTGAGTTTTAAAGGTTTTTTTCCGGACTATGTGAACTTTTTAATTTAGTTGTATTTGTTGGTTAGTTTGAAAAATAACTAATATTTTACATTTGACTTGCATAAAATTCTAAAAAATTGAGGGCTGGCCAGATAGCTCAGCAGACTACAGGGCCTGCTTCGGCAGAGAGCAACAGCCAGGGTTCGATCCCTGGCATGCTGTGTCAACCCCACCTCTGGGGCATGCTGAGAGGGCAATTGAAACTGAGCATGGTGGCACACACCTATAATTCCAGTGCTTGGGAGGCTGAAAATAGGAGGATCATTAAGTCCAATCTGTATAGTGAGACCCAGTAAACCCTGCCCTAAATACATAAAAAAGAAAATTCTAAAAACTAGTAATATATGAAGATCAAAATATTCAGTGATAAATTTTATTTAAACTAAAATATAATAAACACGAAAAGAAGTGTTATAATCAAGCTTTCTAATGTAGTAGCCCAAATGTGAGACACATAAAATTCAGTACCCAAAGATTTTGCTACTAAGAATATTTTTTATCTCTACTACTATTTAGAGATGGGAACAACTAGATGGTCGGCTGAGGATGTTAGGTTAAACAATCAATGAAAAAAAAACAAACACTGCATAAGCTCCTCAGATCTTTTTAAAAATAGATTATATCAATATTTGTATGTCAGCATGACTATAGTAGTCTTTTTCTTTCTATATAACTTGACTTATTTTTCCAACAAGCAAGGCTACTTGTATTTCCAATTGAACAAATACCAGACAGATACCTGGCAATGAAAACTTACCTTTACATTTTCATGAATAGACTGAAGTTGTGCAGCTAAAGCTACAAATGTTTGATATATTTTCTGCATAGCCATTGACAAATCTATAAAAGAAAATTATATTATTACACAAATACATTACTTTTTTCCTATTATTCAAGTCCAATTTCGGGTATGGTTAATGTACAGGAGGGAAAAACAACAATAACAAAAAAACCTCAGCAATGCTCCTACGGCCAGTTAGGACAGACAACACACTGAAAAGACTTACAGAATGTCTGCTTTAGTAATCTGAGAAGGGGGAAGGCCTACAATTTAAGCCCTTGCTACCACAGTAACTCCTTAATAAAACATTTTATATTTACAAGATCTAATCACGGGATTGAACTCAGCCCCTTGCGCTTGCCAGGGAAACGCTTATTCCACTGAGCCATCTCCCCAGCCCCATAATCTCTCTTACCAATAAAATAATAGTACCAATCAAAACTTAATCACAAGCTGGGTGTGCTGGCACACATCTATAATCCCAGCACTCAGAAGGCTAAGGCAGGAGTTCTAGACCAAGTAAGCTCAAGGTGAGCTTAAACTATATAGTGAGACACTCTCTCAAACAAAAAACAAACAAATCATAGTAAGCATGTTACCTTGAGGAGTTATATGAGAATTATTTGCTTGAGTGGCAAGATGGTTCTCTAGTTCTTCAATCTGTTGCCTATACTGTTGAAGCTGTACCTCAAACTGCTGAACCAAGATTCTGAAATAGCTATAAAAACATCAAAAAGATCAAATTTTTAAAAATGTTAAAAATACCAAGTAAGTAAAACTTGTCACAGGTAATATTACTGAAAATAAACCCTAAACATTAAATCATCAAAGTATCAATATCCCAATCATGGAAGATAAATCAAAAGTAAAACTAGGGGCCGGGGAGATGGCTCAGTAGAATAAGCGTATCCCTGGCAAGAGCAAGGGCCTGAGTTCAAACCCCGGTTCTAGCAAAAAAAAATAAAAAA